CGTACGGAAACTGAATATGGCTGGATACTGTGAATATGGGTGTACATTTTTCATTGAATGAAGCTTTTTAAGCCATTCTATTATCTGGGGGAGGAGCTGTCTGGAGATTCCTCGGCCACGCGAGCCTTCTCTGGATTTGCAAGCATGTTCAAGTCCAAGATTGGCTCAACATCATCCGTCCAAGCAACGCTAGGGGCATACCGTGGAGACTCGTAGCAATCATCATGGTATTTGCCAGCCGTCGGGAGAGGGCTCTCGACCTCATGCGAAACCTCCCGCACCTTGGACCGTAGACGGCGAGCCCGGCGTCGGGCGCGTTGTGCGCTGTTTAATGCAACTCTCCAGTCCACTTTCACTCCGTACGGGCCATTCAAGCCGCCCTTGTCCCACCAGGCGTTGAAGCCTTCCGCAATGAGGGATCTCACTAGAGCACGAGTTATGTGGCCCAGATTGAATGGATGTGTGAGTGCTCGCATGCCACCTAAGGCAGCAGCATCCAAAACTGTACTAAGCAGTCCGAATTCTTGATAACATCGCACGATTGCGGACCGTGCAGATTCGAGTACATGACGATTCATCTCGATGATTGCAAACCGATTCAATGGGCGATAACCAAGGATTGCATCCATTTAAAACGGTTGGAATATCGTTTGCAAAGAAAATTCACAAGGTACCATTGCAAACATCCGTCCCGCTACTTCTACTCGGTACTTCGATTGTTCATGCATCTCTTATATGCCTTCGAGTTCTTGAACTTTTGCTCGAGCCTCTCATGAATCCACCTCTCACGTGCCTCTTCTAGCTCTCGGCTCGCTTGCTTTAACTTTGCTGTGTACTCTTCAAACTCCAGCAGATATTCCAAGTAATCGTCGATGAGTGCACATTCGACTGACAACCACGCTCTCCACAGCATGCCACCATCTCTTTGAGCGATTTGACCGGGCTTGAATCGCTCGTCGTTGAGCGGGGCAAACAATTCGGTAGCGTAGCAAGCCTTTGCTTGCTCTTGGTCCAGGGCGTTTGGAGAGCCCGTGAAATGTTGAACGAATCGCCGAAGGTGCTCCTCACTCCTCCCCTGCTCGAAAAAGATGCCGCAGTCAATAAGGAATTATGTACACGAATCCTTGTCCAATCGAGCAAGAATATCGAGTGATGTACACTGTTTGATGAATGATGTATACTAATTGATGAAGTATGTACACGTTTTGCCATTCCCATCGATGATGAGAACCCCGAACCTTGAAAGCGGACCCACTGTCACGAGCGGCATGTTCGATCGATGAAACACGCAGCTTAAGAGCAACGCACACCTTCTTTGCCGATCAGCTAGAATATCGAGTTATGTACTCTGATTGATTGAAAATGTACACGAATCCGTAGCCAATCAAAAGAGTTTATTAAGCGATGTACTCTGATTTATGGAGAATGTACATGGTCTGCTAGCCTGACCGTGGATGACCCTCCAGATCCGAGTCGAGGCCAAAGCGAACGGGTTGACTCACCTCTACCTTGTCCGGATGGAACCGAAGGGACCACGTCGCGTGACTCAGCACAATCTTGCCACGATCAAACTTCTCCTTCAGGTCCTGCCCAAAGATCTCAGCATCGAAAATGAGCCACGAGATAGGCGGCCGAACGTAAACCGGTGCTTTGGGCATCGGGGCAGCGGGCACGGCGCTGCAAGCCATAATACGGTACTTCGCTATGTGCCGCGCACGATGAACGGCTCGTTCCCCGTCGAGGGTCGTTCGATACTTTGACACGGCCGCTCTGTTGCTGTGACGTTTCAAGTGACGAGCAGCTTCCGGCTCCAAGCCGCGATACTTGGAGGGCGCGCGGTCGCTCGAGAGCTTCCATGGCTCACACCCCGTCCGCTTGCGGTGGCCTTCCAAAGCTTGCTTCGACACGAAGCTCTTGCCACAGCTTTTTGACTCGTTTGCATGCCGTTCGAGGCAAATGAAGCAACCGCCATCTTTCTTCCAGAGCGCACGTTCCATGATTTGCAATCTAAGGCCAGGATGACGATTTAGTGCTCATCATGGCTGTGCCCCCGACAATGGAATGACAATCTGCATCCACTGATCTCGACCAATGCAAATTGTCAGCACCTGCATGTAAAGCACGTATTGCTTCCTTGGTCCATGTCATGTCCCCGGACTTGACTGTGCGCTTCTCTCACGCAGCAGAATGAGAGCAATTGAGTTGGGTGAGCTCACCACAGTCGAAGGCGGCAATTCAGCGGCAGAGGTGCCTTTCTGCCATCAAACAGTGGACTGCCGCCGACTCTTGCTGCGGCGGGGTAGACGTCTCTGCAAAATACGAACAGACAACACTCAACGGACCCCTCAGAGTTCAGGACATAATGACGAGCAAAGGATGTCAGGTAAAGGATTTGATATAAACAATCGGCTGATATCAATTCCAAAGCCTTAGTAGTAGTCCCACAGCCCACAGCAAGTTTAAATTCTGCCAACAGCGGGCTTCAATGATCAGCCTCGAACGCAAGCAACATACCAATCAACAACGGCCCCTCAATCAGCCCGACAACGGCCCAAAATTAGCCCGGCAACGGGGCGCCAAATTAATCTGAAAAACGGCGGGGTATCAGCAACAGAGGGCTCGCAATCGGCCTGACAACGCGGGCCCCAAATCAGATGACAACATGCCCTAGATCAGCCCAACAGCGTGCCCCGCAACCAGCCTGACAGCGAGCCCCAAGTCAGCCCGTTCGAGCGCGACAAATCAGCCCCACAGCAAGCGCTAAAGCAGCCCCACAGCAAGGGACACGTTAGCCCGACAGCGGTTCAAAAAGCAGCCCCACAGCGAGCCCCAAGTCAGCCCGTCAGAGCACGACAAATTAGCCTCCCAGCAAGTAAGAAATGAGCCCACAGCAAGCCCCAAGTCAGCCCGTTAGAGCGCGACAAATTAGCCTCCCAGCAAGTAAGAAAAATGAGCCCACAGCAAGCAACACATGAGCCAACAACGAGCTTTGTACAAGTAAGCTCCACAGGAAGCCCAAAATCAGCCCCTACAGCAAGCGATGCATCAACCCCCCAGCGGGCCTCAAGTCAGCCCGACATAGCACGCCACATCACAACGAGCCCCCAATCAGCTCTACAGCGGGTGTCAGTAAGCAATTGCAACCTCTCGGCGCATCAATGGAAGTGATGCTGGAATTAGATTCTGAATCTAGATGAGCAATGGGACTTGCATGCCTCAAGCTTTCCTTCAAAAAGCGTGCTCAAGGTCCAAACTGGCACTGAAAGGTCTGGTTGGAAGTTGGAAGCTGACGCGTTTCAGGAGAGGAACATGAAAGCGCAATGTACACCATCAGCTTGCAACCTACCAATACTTTGAAGAGTATAAGGCTCGACTCACAAGATGACCAGAAAACCGCTGTACCACCGTGCTTCAACATTTCCAACATTCTATAAAGAAGCATGGGGAATCAGACAAAATGCAAAATAGGAGGGCCCTTGAGAAACTCACCTACCACCTGCCACCTTCCAGAGCGCCGCACTCTCTTTGCATGTGACTGAGCTCGACGATGCTGTGGTACTGGGCCGGGCTACTCTTTCCTTCAGAATTGCTTGCTTTTAAGCTTCTCACAAAAGGCTCTCAACATGGATCCTGTTGAAAATGAAGACACTTGAAGCTCAAAAAAAGGCAGCCTGAGGAAGCTGCCACACAGCGCCACTGGTTGCCGCGGTGCGCCACTGCCAGCTCTGCCAAGTCAGCCGGCTGCTGACTCACAGTCCTCTGGACACCTGGCAAGCATGCAAGGCGGTTGGAGGCCGCCATTGCGTGCCGCCCTGCGCCACCGCTTGCCACCAGCTCTACATTGACTTCTTCACACGAGCCACAACCTGCCGCAGCCCGCCATTTTGCACAGCTCAAAGGGCAGCTGCAAATTGTTGCGGGTGCGCTAATTCTTGCATTTGCCAGCCGTGCCATTTCACAGGGGACAACCATTTAACGTTCGCTCCCCCAATTGCTGCCGCCAGCAGCCGCTGGCGCACCCCTCCCAAGGCTGCAGCACAACGTTGCAGCGCACCGTTGCAGCGCGCTAATATTCTACGAATTGTCTCACAGCTCGGGTTTCAATGAGGTTTGTAAACGAAGTATCCTGAGCTGCTCTAACCTGCTGAGGCAACCTAAAGTGGCCCCAAAACTGAGCTTTCTAGGAACTAGCTTCGACTTTCGTCCCTTTAGTGATTCAAATTGGCAACTCAGAAGGCAAGAAGGCATGGCAGCCTATGGGTGTGTGAAGCTGCAGGTATCGTTGGGCTTGGACCACCCCTGTCAGTATGTGCAAATTTGTAATTCATTGGCTATCGACGGGACAGACGGGACAGACAGGTAAATGTCACAAGTGTCGCGACTTATCGGCCCCAACCGAGTCATTATGTCGGAATTCTGTAATTTACGAAGCCCATAGACAGGTCAGACGGGACAGACAGGTATATGTCACATGTTTCGTGACTTATCGGCCCCATCCCTTGCATTATGTTGGAATTTTGCTATTTCGGAGCCTACAGACATGACAGACGGGACAGACCCTCACTAACTTAGGGATAAGTCGGAACAGCGCGGCCCAAGGGGCGGGAGCTGGGTGGGACCGGGAGCGGAGTGGCGGCGAGTACGAGCTTAGGGGTAAGCAACCGGCCTAGGAGGGGCGGGGCCCGGAGCGGAGCGGCCGGCGGCTACAACCTTAAGGGTAAGCGACCAGCCTAGACGAGGGCGGGGTGCGACCCGGGGGACTGGGGGAACCGGAGCGGAGCGGCCAGGGCGACTACAAGCTTAGGGGTAAGCAGCCGACCCAAGGGTGGGGGCGCACCGGCCGACCCAGGCCCCGGAGGGGGCGCGGGGAAGCCGGAAATTAAAGTCGGATAGCCCTTACTTACATACATATTCGCAAAGTTGCTGGCCAAACACTCTCGTACTGTTATCTGTTATAATTTTTTTCCTCTGTCCAGAAGAAAATTATAACAGATAAGCATTACAACTTTGTCCTTTTGGGACCTTGTTGCAAATATGTATGTAGTAAGGCCATACCGAAAAAGATAGTAGATATTATAATTGATTTTTAAGAAGAAAGTTATAACAGATAAGCAGTACGGCTTTTGTCCCTTGGGACCTCGTTGCGAATATGTATGTAGTAAGACCATACCATACATTATCTCATTTTACATTATGAGACTATTCAAAAGAAGATTATAGGTTACTTACTTAGAAACAAAGGGTAACATATTGGCTTTTGTTCTTAAGTGAGTGTTCGGAATCAAGTGGATGCAATATGGGATCATTTGTGACGTC